TGACAATGTAACGGGACAACAATGTATGTGTAGGTAGTGAGTAATTGAACTGCAGTCAGGAAGTATTGTTGAAGTTAACGTTCGTTGTTAAAACGTTTGTAAAAGAGCGACTGTTGAAAATAAGTGTATCGGTAAAATTATATTCAGAAAGAATAAACCAGTTTTATTAAGTAAGGACTTGTGTCGCTAAAGTTTCGTCGGAACGAAGTTACGAAAAATCAATTAACAAACCGGAGCCGTAACAGTACAATAGATCACAATAATCATGAGTAGAGTGATGTAGACAGGTAGGTACAATAGACTATATTTGTGGGTGATGTAGAGACAGGTTGGTACAATAGACTACATTTGTGGGGTGACATTGAGACAGGTAGCTACAATCGAACACACTAGTGGGGTGACAGAAACAGGTGAATATAATAGAACAATAATACAATAGACAGGTACATTTACTCTAGTGAGGTGATATATGAATACAACAGAACAGAGTAATGTATAGACAGGTACATTTACTACATCTCTATTGAGGTGATGTATGGATATAACAGAACACAGTAATGTATAGAAAGTTACGTTTACTACACCTCTAGTGAGGTGATGTATGGATACAACATAACAGAGTAATGTAGAGACAGTTACGTTTACTACACCTCTAGTGAGGTGATGTATGGATATAACAGAACACAGTAATGTATAGAAAGTTACGTTTACTACACCTCTAGTGAGGTGATGTATGGATACAACATAACAGAGTAATGTAGAGACAGTTACGTTTACTACACCTCTAGTGAGGTGATGTATGGATATAACAGAACACAGTAATGTATAGAAAGTTACGTTTACTACACCTCTAATGAGATGATATATGAATACAACAGAACATAGTAATGTATAGACAGGTACATTTACTACATCTCTATTGAGGTGATGTATGGATTCAACAGAACACAGTAATGTATAGAAAGTTACGTTTACTACACCTCTAATGAGGTGATGTATGTGTTCATTATTAGATTATTCTTATAGTTACTTGTTAGTATAAAAAATACTTGTTTTATTACTGCTTTCTTTTTTTCTGAATTGATATCACAGTTTGTATGTAAAGCTTACAAATGGATTTAGAAAATACATAATCAATACTATTTCATGAATGTGTGTTAATATGTTTGGTACCAAACTGTAGATTATAATTCAAATTTTAATATTACACGCCATTTAATTTCTTAATTTAAAAGTAAATATTAATAAAACACAGATAAACATCAATTTTTGTGTGTCACATGGTAAGTTGAATGCAGCACTAGTTCATATTAGATGTTTGTGATCTAATATAGTCTATAGTTTTGTACGAATTAGGAACTCAAATTACAGATATTGACAAGCTAGAATACAAAATAAGAACATCCTATCTTTCCTATGTACTGAATCAAACACAGTGGCCACGCTCACCTCTTTCCAATTTTGGAATAAAAATGACGTGAATAACCAATAGAAAGTTCATTATGTCCCCTAGTGGTTTTCTCAGCAATTATCATGTGTTAGGATGCCATCTCGTTCTTTCAAACCAAGATTTCAAGGAGGTAGGTTGTGTCTTTAGTCTGCTCAATATTTCATTTTTTATACCCAGATACAGCTTAATTACTAAGCTTGATAAATTATA